GCTATAGACTGAATGTTTGTGTTCCCCCAAAACTCATATGCTGAAATCTAATCACCAGTGTGATGGTGTCTGGAGGTGGAGTCTTCGGGAGGTGATTAGGTCATGAGGATGGAGCAGTCATAACTGGGATTAGTCTGCTAAAAGAGGTCCCAGAGAGCTCTCCTGCCCTTTTCCCCATGTAAGGACACAGTGAGGACCAAGAAGGGGGCTTTCACCAGTCACTGAACGTGCTGGCACCTTGATCTTGGACTTTTCAACCTCTAGAACGGTAAGAAATAAAATTCTGTTGTTTGTAATCCACCCAGTCCATGGTATTCTGTTACAGCAGCCTGAAAGGACTAAGACACTGACTATGAAGTCATCTGCACCTGCACACACTTTTTCCACCCCTGCACAAAGCAACGGTATCCTGCCATTTAAGGTGAGCCCCTGCACCAGAGCTCAGGACCACCCCATTTAACTTTCTCAGGGAGAGCACCCCATGAGTTATCCCTTCTTCACCTCGCCCTCCATTCCTTCCCCTCTGCCAGATCCTTTCCTCCAGCCTAACACAAAGCCCCTAGCCTTTGCTTCTATGAACTAAAAGCAGATCCAGAAACCAAGGATGAATATAAATAATAAAAAGAACCAGGACAGGGACTTCCCTGGTGGCGCAGTGGTTAAGAATACATCTGCCAATATAGGGGACACGGGTTCGATCCCTGGTCCGGGAAGAGCCCACATGCTGCAGAGCAACTAAGCCCGTGCACCACAACTACTGAGCCTGTGCTCTAGAGCCCGCGAGCCACAACTACTGAGCCCACATGCCACAGTTACTGGAGCCCGCCCCGCAACAACAGAAGTCACCGAAATGACAAGTCTGCGCACCATAGTGAAGAGTAGCCCCTGCTCACCACAACTAGAGAAAGCCACACACATCAATGAAGACCCAACGCAGCCAAAAATTAATTAATTAATTAAAATAAAAGAACCAGGACAGGATCTACATAAAGATACGGTTAACTGACTGTTGGATCTTTTGAAATCATCCTTTACTTCTCTCATCTTTTCTCTCATATTCTACTTTTTGGGATATTTATGAGATCTACCTTCTAACCCTTCCAGTGAAACTTTTATTTTGCTAATCATATTTTCATTCCCAAGACTTCCTCATATTTCTGATCATTCTTTTTATCACATCCTTGCTCTTGTTTTAGGTAGGTAATATCTTCTCAAGTTTCTGAAAGCACTAGAGATTGTTGGGTTTTTGGTTTTTTTTTTGGTACGTGGGCCTCTCACTGCTGTGGTCTCTCCCGTTGCGGAGCACAGGCTCCGGACGCGCAGGCTCACTGGCCCTGGCTCACGGGCCCAGCCGCTCCGCGGCATGTGGGATCTTCCCGGACCGGGGCACGAACCCGTGTCCCCTGCATCGGCAGGCGGACTCTCAACCACTGCGCCACCAGGGAAGCCCTGTTGGGCTTTTAAAAAATAAATTGACTTCTGTTCCCTAAATTATTTCTCTGTCGGCCTTGTGGGATCCTCATCATTACTAGGCATATACTGATGAGCATACACATTACATTGCTACTCCAGGTCACGCTCCTGAACTCCAGATATTTACCTTTAATTGCCTAATGAAAAACTCTACCATGACATCCTAAAGGCACCTCAGACTGAACTCATATTTTCCTCCAAATAAATGCTTTTCCTTTCATCTCACTACATGGCACTACCATCCACCGTTACCTGAATGAGAAACCTAGGAGTAATTCTTGACTGGCCCTATTTTTCCTCACCTATATCCAATACATTAATTCCTGGTGATTCTATCTCTTTAATATCACTCAATGGTATCCTAATGTTTCCTGCTTTGTTGAGCACACATAGGTGGTGTTTACTCCTGGCATCTCTCCATGCCATTTAAGCACTCTGTCTCAGGGAAGGTGGACTGACCCCGGATTTATCTGGGTGCGTTAGGTCTGAGTCACTCTTCATCCTCTTGGCCGCTAGTTACAGGGGACAGACATTCTAATCTTCCAGGTAAAGCATTCTCCAGAGGTGTCACGGGTTGGGTTCACTGGGAAGCAGGTTCTGAGATAGATATTAGTGTGCAGGAGGTAGTGCTTCTGGAATCAATACTTGGGGAAGGAAAGGGAAGGGAAGAAAAAAACAGGAAGGTGAAAAACAGGATAGGATGGGAAGAACAGGAACAGGAAGGGAAGAGAAAGGAGCAAGATTGGGCAAAGGGAGAAGTTTAGCTGAGATTCAGTCTCAATAGAGGCCTCAGCTGACCTTGGGGGAGCTCCAAAGCCCGGATGACCTTCCAGAGTTGTCTCAAATTGGGGGTGGGGGACCAAAGCTTTGTATTGCTCCCTGATCAGTCATTGGATGCTGGCCACCCCAAGGAGACGTAACTGGGCTAGTGGGTTTTTTTAGCCAAGGCCCTCCCTAAAAACAGCTGCTAGCTGAGGGCAGAAGCAGCCCTCCAGGCAGCCAGAGGAATAAGTCCTTTATTTCTGAAGAGGGATCCAGGTGGCCCACCTCAACATTCACCTCAGAGAAGCCTGCCCTCATCTGGGGGTTTACTTAGCATCTCATCTGGCTCTCACACTAAGCTAAGACCTCTATGGTAGTTTTTTTCAGCAATAAATGGCAGGTTTTGGAGTCCATCTGCCTATATATATATTTTTTCAATAAATTTATTTATTTATTTTTGGCTGCGTGGGGTCTTCGTTGCTGCACGTGGGCTTTCTCTAGTTGCGGCGAGCGGGGGCTACGCTTTGTGGCGGTGCACGGGCTTCTCATTACAGTGGCTTCTCTTGTTGCGGAGCACGGGCTCTAGGTGCGCGGGCTTCAACAGTTGTGGAGCGCAGGCTCAGTAGTTGTGGCTCACAGGCTCTAGAGCACAGGCAGTAGCTGTGGTGCACGGACTTAGTTGCTCCGCGGCATGTGGGATCTTCCTGGACCAGGGTTCAAACCCGTGTCGCCTGCATTGGCAGGTAGATTCTTAACCACTGAGCCACCAGGGGAGTCTCTATCTGCCTATCTTTTGTTTTATTGCTTCATTTTCTCAGAGACCTAGGCTGAAACAAGGGATGCTACTTAAACCTCAGTATTCTTCCTGCTACTCGCTGGGATAAGGCCAGTCTCAACGCCTTCCTAGACTACAGCTGTTTGCCATCTGGCCATCCTACCTCGATTGTTACCCCTCTCCAATTCTTTCTCCACACTTTAGCCAAAGGGAAATTCCAAAAGCACAAATCTGATCAGCTCTCCCCTGCTTTCCCTTTGCCTTCAGAGATAAAGTCTAACCTTTTTAATGAGGCTGAGAAGGCCAACAAGATTTAATTTGAGCTCCCTTGTCTGGTTTGATTCTCTTAACACTCCCTCATCCCTCAGCTCTGTATTTGATGCACCAGCAAGAGAAAAGTACTTGCAGTTTCCACCAGTAACCCAAGGGTTTCTTGACTCTGTGCTTTTTAAATATTTCCTCAGATTAAAATGTATTGAACTGCTTCCTTGTCCATCTCTCTCATTTGAATATGAGCATCTTAGGAACAGAGACATTTCCTTGTTCTTACACTAGGCACTCAACAAATATTAAATGAAAGCGTGAATATATCTGGAAAGGATTTATGGCCTGTTACATGTTTATTTATTAGCAAGGGCCACTGCACATGGAAAAATGTTCAACCTCGCTATTAAAAAGGTGCTCTGAAACAAGGAGATACAATTTTTCACTTAGAAATTGGCAGAGCTACTAACAATAATATTTGAGGCTAGCAAGGGGATGGTGAAATGAGCACCCTGATACACTGCGAATATCCGAAAAGCATTCTGGCAATATATGACAAGTCTTAAGATGCTTAAGCCATGTACCCTAATAATTGCACATCTAGAAATCTATGCTGTATAACCAGAAAGAGAAGTAAAATTTATGTGCAAAGGTATTCATCACTGTATGTTTTTCTATTATACTTGCACTCTTAAATTGTCCATCTATTCTAAATTGGGTCTGTTACAATTTAAAGATCAGCAAAACGTTAGTAAAATGCTGACAAGGTTAGAGTTGGGAGCCAGCCTACAGGACAGCCTAATGATTCTTGCCTCCTGGTATTCACACGCTGTGTGGTTCCCTCTCACATTGTTCCAGAAGTAGTGTCATCACTTCTACTGTGCAACTTTCATGATAAGGTTATAAAAGACTCTACAGCATCCAAGTTAGCCTTTCTCTCAGATCACATGCTCTTGGGGAAGGCCAGCTGCCATGTCTCTCTCCATGGGGAGACACATGTGGCAAGACGTTGAGGTCTCTTTTTTTTTTTTGGCTGCACTGTGTAGTTTGTGGGATCTTAGTTCCCTGGCGAGGGATTGAACCCGGGCCCCCTGCAGTGGAGTCCTAACCACTGGACCGCCAGGGAAGTCCCCATTGTGGCCTCTTGATAAAACCACATGAGTAAACTTGGAAGCAGACCCCCCAGCCTAAGTCAAGCCTTCAGGTGACTGCAGCCCCAGCTGCCACTTGACTGCAAGCTTATGAGAGACCCTGAGCCAGAACCACATGGTTAAGCTCCGCCTGGATTCTTGGTCTAGAGAAGCTATGAGATAACAAATGTGTATGGCTTTAAGCTGCTGAATTTTTTTTTTTTTTTTTTTTGTGGTAAGCAGGCCTCTCACTGTTGTGGCCTCTCCTGTTACAGAGCACAGGCTCCGGACGCGCAGGCCCAGCGGCCATGGCTCACAGACCCAGCCGATCTGCGGCATGTGGGATCTTCCCGGACGGGGGCACGAACCCGTGTCCCCTGCATCTGCAGGCGGACTCTTAACCACTGCGCCACCAGGGAAGCCCTAAGCTGCTGAATTTTGAGTAGGATGATCAACTGTCCAGGTTTCACCAGGACTGAGGGGTTTCCTGGGATATGGGACTTTCAGGGCTAAAACCAGGGAGGTCCGGGCAAACTGGGACAGTTGGTTACACTAGTATTTTTAAATACAACTTTATTCAGATATAATTCACATACCATAAGTCGCCTGTTGAAAGTTCAATGGTTTTAGTATATTTGGAGTTGTACAACCATCACCGTAATCCAATGTTAGAACCTTATAAAGAAATCCTGAAAAAAAAAAGAAAAAAAAAGAAATCCTGTACTCTTTAGCTATTATCTCCCAGTCTCCCAACTCCCCCCAGACCTAGGCAAACCACTAATCTACTTTCTGCTTGTAGACATCCTAGTTTTGAATAATTTATTATACAGCAGTAGATAATTACTATAGGGTTATGGATAATGGGATAAGCGATGCTTGCTTTTGCATTAGTCCCTTACCTTACACTTTACTGAATTTTGCAAATTTTTTACAATAAGCATATTTTCACTTAATATAAGAGAAAAAGTAGTAGTATTCTGATTTACTGAAAATATGACGTATGATTTCATGGAACTGCTGTTTGGGCCCACCCAGTATCCTTCTACTCCCTGTTCTTCTAGTAACAACACTACCCCTCTTCCTTAAAGAAGAGCCTTTCTCCAATTCCAGGTTGTTCTGATTTGGTTGCCAAAGGACAAGGTGGATACTTGACTCAGGCCAGAATAATCAGATTTTCTCTCCCAATAATTTGAATCTTGAGTAGAGGCAACAAGGGGAAAGAAGGTATTTAAAACTAGTCATCAGGAGGCAGAATCCTAGAGAATTTGTTGGGGAACTTCTGTTTCTGAAATCTCTGTAACCTTTCTGGTTTCTCTTCTTTCCTCTTGGGTATTTAGTAATTCCTTTGATTCTGTAAGTTACTCCTGTATGACTCTGTAAGACTCTTTTTTATTTAAGCTAGTTTCTGTTGCTTGCAACGAAAGAACTCTAACTGATCCAAATAATAGAGAAAATATTTCTGTTGTGCTGGGGTGGGGGCGGGGGGAGGGCGGCGGTTATCCCCTCACCCTCCAAAAAATATCCATAAATCTATCATTCCAACAGAAAAGTTTTTAATTTTTTCATATTACCCATTGGTTCATTTTCACATAGTTAGAATCATGGTGTACCTATCATCTTATATTTTTCTACCTAACGCTGTACCTGCAAAAACTTTTAGTGTTTCTACAAAGTCTATTCATCATTTTAAATGTATGTTATCATCTTGTACTGGTATATAATAATTTATTAAATCTTGATCCACTGGTTGGATATTTGGGTTGATTTTAGCTAGCAGACATATATTTAAAATGAACATTTTCACAGCAAGCTTTGTGCTTCTGTTGGATTATTTCTTCCCTTAGGATAAATGTACAAAATTGAAAAATGGATCTGCTATGGTGTTATCCTTGTTCCTTTCATGCATTTGATGTGTTGCTTTGTAAAGTGAAAGGTGCTTTTGTACTACAAGTAATTTTCTATTTTGAATGTTTAGATTTCCATTTATAAGATATTCTTAGATTGGGCAAATTCAGATAAATAGAATTTACTTAGTTCAAAATCTACATTATGACAGTTATACAAGTATTCATGTGATTGTAACTATTTAAATACACCTTTTATTGAATATAACATACATAAATAAAAATGGCACAGATCATAAGGGTAGAATCTCAATGAATTTTCACAAAGTGAACACACCCATATATAACCAGTACGAATATCAAAAAGCGCTACTGGCACTCTAGAAGCCCCCTTATGCACCCACCCAATTATAACCTTCTGTCAGATAACCACAATCCTGATGTCTATTACCATAATTTAATCTCTTCTGATTTTGAACTTTAAATAAATGCAGCCTTTTGTGTATGGTTTCCTTCACTCAACATTATGTTTATAAGCTTCATCCATGTGTAGCAGTAGTTCATTCATTCTCATTCTGTGTAGTATTGCATTGTGCAGATACACATCATTTATCTACTGTTGAATGGATATCTGGGTTGTTTGCAAATTTTGATTCCTACAAATAGGACTAATATTGTTGGGTCATGGGTTATGCACATATTCAGCTTTCTTAGAAACTGCCAAATAGTTTCCCAAAGTGGTACCAATTTATATTCTCACCAGCTGTGTAGGAGAGTTCCAGCTGCTTCACATCTTCTGGTTTTGTGCTTTTTCACATGTTTGTTGGGCACGTGGATATTCTCTTTTTTGAAGTACCTGTTCAAATCTTTGACCAATTTGGGGGGGGGGGGTCAACTTTATTGAGATATGATTTTCATACAGTGAAATTCACCAATTTTAAGAGTACAAGTCTATGAATTTTACAATGTCTTCTATAATGTAATCATCATCATACTCATGATATAGTTCCCTTTTGTCCTTTGCAGTCAATTTCCTTCCCCACCCCATGACTAGCGACACTGACATGTGTCCTGTCACTATACCTTTATCTTTACTATAATTTCATATAAATGGAATCATACAGAAAGGAATCTTTTGTGTCTGGCTTCTTTCAATGAGAATAATGTTTTTGAAATTCTGTCCATGACATTTTATGTATCAGTAGTTCATCAGGGTTTTTTTTTAAGTGCTAAATAGTATTCCATTGTATAGATATGCCACAGTTTGTTTATCCATTCACCTGTTGATGGGACGTTTTGTTGTTTCCAAATTTGGGCCATTATGAATAAAATTGTGATGAACATTCAAGTACATATGTTTGTGAATACACGTTTTCATTTCTCTTAGGTAGATATATCGGAATGCGATTGCTGGGTCCTACAGTAAATATATGTTTAACTTTATAAAAAAATTATCCAATTTTTCCAAAATGTCCATATCATTTACATTCCTACCAGAAGTATATCAGTGTTACAGTTGCTCCACGTCTTTGTCAACACTTGGTACTGTCAGTGTTGTTAATGTTAACCCTTCTAGTGGGTGTGTACTGGTATCTCATTGTGGTTTTAATTCCATTTCCTCGATGACTGATGATGTTGAGCATCTTTTCACGTGCTTATTGCCGTTCATAAAATATTTATTCAAATCTTTTGCCCATGTCATAAACTGAGTTCTTCTACTTTAATTATGAGTTCTTACTGAACTGTAAGCATTCTTTTGTATTCTTGATACAAGTCCTTTATCAGGTATATTTAATAAATATTGTCTTCCAGTATGTGGTTTGAATTTTCATTTTCATAACAGTGACTGTACTTTTCTATAAGTTTGAACTTATTTCAAAATAAAAGACTACCAAAAAGAGAAGAAATTACTAGTTTGCTAAGAGTTTTAAATCATGAATGAATATTGAATTTTATGAAATTCCTTTTCCGTATCTATAACGATGATCATATACATTTAATTTTATTTATTATTTTAGATTTTATTTATTTATTTTTGGCTGCGTTGGGTCTTTGTTGCTGTGTGGGCTTTCTCTAGTTGCAGCGAGCAGGGGCTACTCTTTGTTGAGGTGCGTGGGCTTCTCACTGCAGTGGCTTCTCTAGTTGTGGAGCGTGGGCTCTAGGCGTGCAGGCCTCAATAGTTGCAGCACACGGGCTCAGTAGTTGTGGTTTGTAAGCTCTAGAACGCAGGCTCAGTAGTTGTGGTGCATGGGCTTAGTTGCTCCACAGCCCGTGGGATCTTCCCTGACCAAGGATCGAACCCGTGTATCCTGCACTGGAAGGCAGATTCTTAACCACTGCACCACCAGCGGAGTCCCTACATTTTATTTTATTAATTTGGTAAATAATAAGACTATCAATGTTAAACCAACCTTGAATGCTTGAAAGAAACACACATTTTATATATTATATATTACTGGATTTGTTTTGCTGGTATTTAATTTAGAATTTTTTTCATCTCTGATAAGAGAGAGACTGGTCTACAGTTTTCTTTCCTTATAATGACCTTAGGTTTGGGGATCAACATTTTATTGGCCTCATAAAATGAACTGGTATTTTTGTATTCTCTGAAAGAGTCTGTGCACTGTTGTTGTCCTTTCTTCCTTAAATATTTGGAAGAATTTAATGGTGAAGTCATAAGAATCTGGAGATTTAGTGTGTGAAGATTTTTAATCACTATTCAGTTTCTTTAGTAGATATAGAACTATTCAGGTGTTCTTTCTTTCTTGTTTTTTATTTTTTTGGTGTCACTTTTTGTATGTTGGGTTGTCTAGAAATTTCCCATTTCATCTAAATTTTCAAACTTATTGACTTTAAGTTGTCTAAAATAGTTTTACTTCAGGTTTGTGGTATCTGTAGGATCCACAGTGATGTCCCCCTTTTCAAGCCTGATAGAGAATATGTATCCTATTTGGGTTTTTTTCTTTCTGCTTTGTATGTGTGACCAGTCTTGCTAGGGATTGGTCAGTTTTACTATTTCTTTTCATTGACTCTTCTCTACTGTACATTTATTTTCATTAATTTTTTTCTCTTCACTTTACTATTCCTTTCTTTATACTTTCTTCAGGTTTAACTGTTCTTTTCTAGGTTTTTGAGATGGATACTTAGGTAATTCTTGTTTAACACTATAAATTTCAGCCTTTAAAATTATAAATTTCTCACTAAAGACAGTTTTAGCTACATCTTAAAATTTTTGATGTCATATTTTCATAATGATTTGGTTCAAAATATTTTCTAATTTCTACTGTGATTTTTTTTCTTTGACTGATGAATTACTTAGAAATACATTGCTTAGGTTGTATGTGTTGGGGAATTTTGCAGTTGTTGGGTGCAATATTCCATATGTATCCATCATGTCAATTTTGTAAGTCATGTTGTTTAAATGTTTTGTCTCCTGTTCTATCAGTTCCTGAGAGACGAGTTAAAAGCTCCTACTGTGATTGTAGATTTGTCTATTTCTCCTTGAAATTTTGGCAATTTTTTTTTTTTTGCTTTATGTATTTTGTACTATATTGCTAGTTGTGTGCAAAATTAGAATTGTTTTATCTTCCAGATGGGTTAATATTTTTATTATTGTTAAATATCACACTTTGTTTCTAATAATGCTTCTATCTTTTTTTTTTTAAGTTTTTTTTTTTTTTTTTCTTTTTTGCGGTACGCGGGCCTCTCACTGTTGTGGCCTCTCCCGTTGCGGAGCACAGGCTCCGGACGCGCAGGCTCAGCGGCCATGGCTCACAGGCCCAGCCGCTCCATGGCATGTGGGATCTTCCCGGACCAGGGCACGAACCCGTGTCCCCTGCATCGGCAGGCGGACTCTCAACCACTGTGCCACCAGGGAAGCCCCAATGCTTCTATCTTTAAAGTCTACTTTATATGTTATTTATAGCTATACAAGCTTTCTTTGGGCTAGTGTTTGCATAAAATGTCTTTCTATTCTTTTACTTTTAACTATTCTGTGTCATAATTTTAGATTATTACTCTTGTATCTTTTGTACAAAGCACATATATTTTTAAAACCAGTATGAAAATCTTTGTTCTTTTTTTTTTTTTTTTTTTTTTTTTTGCAGTACACGGGCCTCTCACTGTTGTGGCCTCTCCCGTTGTGCAGCACAGGCTCCGGACGCACAGGCTTAGTGGCCATGGCTCACGGGCCCAGCTGCTCCATGGCATGTGGGATCTTCCTGGACCGGGGCACGAACCCATATCCCCAGCATCGGCAGGCGGATTCTCAACCACTGCGCCACCAGGGAAGCCCAATCTTTGTTCCTTAATAGAATATTGTGCCATTTATATTTATGGTAATTAATGACATATTGGGGTTAATAGCTAACATCTTACTATTTTGGTTTCTTTTTATTCCACTTGTTACTTGCTCCTTCTTATCATTTTTCTTGCCTTCCTTTGGCTTAATTGAGTGTTTTCTTTATTATTATTCTGTATTCTCCCTTTTACTATTTATATAATATATTGTTTATACATACTTTTACTATTCTTAATAGTAACCCTAGAGTTTACAACATGTACCCTTGACTTGTTTAAGCTTAGTATAAGTTAATACTTTTACTACTGTTTTTATTTTGTTTTTTGCGGTACATGGGCCTCTCACTGTTGTGGCCTCTCCCATTGCGGAGCAAGGCTCTGGACGCACAGGCTCCGCGGCCATGGCTCACGAGCCCAGCTGCTCCGTGGCATGTGGGATCTTCCCGGACCGGGGCACGAACCTGTGTCCCCTGCATCGGCAGGCAGACTCTCAACCACTGCACCACCAGGGAAGCCCTACTACTGTTTTAAAAATAAATTTATTTATTTATTTTTGGCTGTGTTGGGTCTTCGTTGTTGCATGCGGGCTTTCTCTAGTTGCAGCAAGCAGGAGCTACTCTCTGTTGTGGTGCATGGGCTTCTCATTGTGGTGGCTTCTCTTGTTGAGGAGCATGGGCTCTAGGCACATGGGCTTCAGTAGTTGTGGCTCATGGGCTCTAGAGCGCAGGCTCAGTAGTTGTGGCGCAGGGGCTTAGTTGCTCCGCGGCATGTGGGATCTTCCTGGACCAGAGCTCAAACCTGTGTCCCATGCAGTGGCAGGCAGATTCTTAACCATTGCGCTACCGGGGAAGTCCATACTTTTACTGCTTCTGAGACACCATATCCTTGCTGGCATCCCCGTGGAGGTCTAAACCATTCTGATCTGTTATTTGGAAGTGGACATGGGTCTTCACCATTTATGGAAACTGACTCTTGTCTGGTTCTCTCCTCCTTCTGGGCTCAGGAGATCCAAATTCTCCTGAAGTCAAGCCATTCCCATTTTCTTAGAACCCTTCTCCTTCCAGATAACTGAGTCTTCTGTCTCCCAAATCACTACATTTAGAAAATCACCACATTTTAACCTTCCCTCTAGAGAAGAGAAGGGAAAAGGACTTCTTGTCTTTCCATGGCAAGCCCAGAGACAAGAAAACAAGATGTGATTTCTTAATCAACTGCCACACCTATTAATATTATTTCGATTTTGTGGCCTTGACTTAGCATGTAACCATAATCAATCACACGATTTCCATGGGAAATCAATTCCAAGTTATAAACAATTTTCTTTTAGGGAACTTTGAGAACCCAATATATTCATTGGATATATTCTCTTTGTAACAGCATTTTTCTTGCTTCTCTTTAAGGAAAGGAAAAATTGCAGAGAGCAATGATAAGATACATCATTAATATAAAAATACTCTGGTCACTGCTTTAAGGCTTTGCTTCAACATTAATGCCCACAAATGAGGTGAACATGAGGGAATATATTATCTCTTACCAAATGGCAAGATATTTTCTTCGCCAGGACACAAATGACATAGAGATAGAGGTGGTAATAATTTTAAAGATATAACCTCCCTGAGGTACACTGTAGAGTTAAGAATACCATCATAAATACAGATGTAGGTAAGGTTCAATTTAAGGAACTGTATTTTGGGTATTGTAGCGCTTAGGCCAAAGAACCATGAGATAGTGGCCTGGTTTAATAAAACATCACAAAGGTCCATTAGGAAAACTCACCAGGGACAAAATGGGGGTAGTTTTGAAATAGACCATAGGAGCTGCTGCTTCTGCTAAAAGTAACCACACTGATTCCTAAATTTATCTCATTCTGTGATAACCGACTTTTCATTCTGAGGAGAGACAATGCAGTCCAGACCTCTTACCATTTCCTATGCTCATCAGCTTTCCTCCTGGGCCTAGTATAGACTCACCTTTCACTCTGAAGTGTTAGGTGAGGTGGTTGCCTCAAATACAAGCACTTTTTACAAGATAGACTAAGGGTAAATTGAACTCAAAGTAAATTTTTTTTTCTCCAAAATCCTTCCCTGATTCCATAGGTGGAAAACCTTTTGTTTTTTAGTTTCATCGGACCACCATTCCCATGTCTAGTCTAATAAATACTGGAATGAAGGCAGAATGATAACAAGGTACATTTGTGTGTGATTATGCAACATATCATGAGAGGAAATATTTTTCAAAATAATTTGTAGGGGCTTCCCTGGTGGTGCAGTGGTTAGGAGTCTGCCTGCCAATGCAGGGGACACAGGTTCAAGCCCTGGTCCGGGAAGATCCCACATGTCGCGGAGCAACTAAGCCCGTGAGCCACAACTACTGAGCCTGCACTCTAGAGTCTGCAAGCCACAACTACTGAGTCTGCGAGCCACAACTACTGAGCCTGCGAGCCACAACTACTGAAGCCCATGCACCTAGAGCCCGTGCTCTGCAACAAGAGAAGCCACCGCAGTGAGAAGCCCACACAACGCAATGAAGAGTAGTCCCCACTCGCTGCAACTAGAGAAAACCTGCGTAGCAACGAAGACCCAATGCAGCCAAAAATAAATAAATTTATATAAAAAAATAAATAATTTGTAAGTTTGGCCTAGGAGTGTCTGAAAACTGGAAATAACTATAAAACAATTCAATAGTCATAAAATGAGTTTTTAAAACCTGCTTTTCCCCATAAGAGATTATCCACATTTAATCATTCAAGAGCTGATTATCCAGAATGTAATATACAAATCCACTGTTTCTTCTTTTCCCTTCTGCTGCCTTATTTTTGGTCACTTCACAGCTCATTAGTATTCTCTCTCTTGGAAAATAAAGGCAAATGTAGCACAAACTAGTATTTTCAACTTTCTATGTAAAGGTTTTGTAGGAAGGGTTATGGTTTACATATCACTTTTCTTTAATAAGTATCTGGTTAGGCTCTACTGGGCACTGGTGAAGGATTAAAGACATTTAAGACATTGTCCCTGCTCTTAAGGCTCTTACAATTGGAGAAACAAGGTTTACGTGTAAAGTCAAATATTAATGCAAGACAATATATATTTAAACAACAGTATGAAAGAATCTGGTCATAAATACATAGTGTACAAGAGAGATTTATAGATCTATCATGGTTTTGAAAAGGGAGAGCAATAGTTTGAACTGACAGGATGGTCACAGAAATTCTCAGTAAGGTAGTGAGACTTGAGCTAGGTATCAAAGAATGGATGGAATTTTAGCATGGGCAAAAGAAAATTCTGCACAAAGTAAAAAACACAAGAAATCCCAGAATTCCAGGGTTCAAGGACCACAGATACTTTTAAATGGAATATTCTAAGCATACACAGTATAGAAAATAATATAACAACTTCTTTTGTCTTTCCCGCCCAGCTTTGTCACATATTTACTTTTTGCCATATTTGCTTTAGATCCACGTCTTTGTTTTTAAATACAGATTTGGCTAAAGGCTTCTACATACTCTATCATTATCCTGCTTTCTCAGCAGAGGTAACAACTATCCTGAATTTGGTAATTTATCATAACCACGAATATTTTAAAATGTTATTACAAACGGAAATATGCAGTGTTGTTTGATGTGTTTAAAGTTATGTAAACAGTAGCATACTTATTGTATCTTCCGCCACTTGGTTTTAGTCACTCGATATTCTATTAGTTGAGATTTATGCATATTCTAATTCTAGTTCTAGTTCATTTATTTTAACTATAATATTGTATTCCACTGTGTGATCATACACCAATTTACTTATCCATTCTCAGGTTGATGAACATTTAGGTTGTTTCCAATTATTTTCCTGTTACAGACAATGCTTCAATGAACAGTCATTTACATGTCTCTTTATGCATTTGAGGGAGAGTTTCATTTATACATGTAGAAATGGAATTGTTAGATTGTAAGGGCATCTTTAGCTTTGAGAATGAAAAATTGCCTTCCAACGTGGTTGTACCAGTTTATTCTCCTCCCCACAGTATATGAGATTTCCCATTTCTTCCTTACCTTTGCAACTCTGATGACTACATCATAGGCATGGAACTGGAGAGTACCCCGGAGTCAGTTCTTGCTATAAACTAGCACTCTGTGTCGGTGACGCTCAGCTTTGGATCACACCATGAACCTGCCCAGCCCCAGCTAAGACAGGATATCAAACCTCTGGGAGAGAACTGGAGAAGAGCAAAGAAAGGACTGGTTGAGTGGCTGAGGACTGGGAGAACATTTTATTCATTTTTGCAACCCCAATATCTAATATAACCTGAAACTCAGTAATCAAAGCTCAGTAGATGTTCAACTGACTGAAACTAATTATAAACCCTGATCTGTTTCTGATTTTCACTCCTCTAAGCTTCAATTTCCCCATCTGTAAACTAAGGACGATAATAAATGAAGGAGTCTTTCCAAAGATAAAATGAGACATAAATATGAAAATATTTATAAATGCTAAAAAGTAATGCAAATTAAGTTATAAAAGATTTGAAAGCTGCTTCTGTGTCGTGACTTCTTACATATAACCAGATAATATTTTAGCAGTTCGAAAGTATTGGCAAATTTCTCATTGGCATTCTTCTTTTAACCTTAATTAATCCTGGGATCCCACCTACCTCAGACTCTGCTCAGGATCACATATAAAGATACATTGCAATCTTAAAAAGGTGTTCCAATCCTTACTTGCAGCTGTCAAAGAGCACCTATGAGGAACCCATTCATGGTTACAGAGCCACGCTTGAGTTCCATTCTATTCTCTCTAGTCCTAAAACACAAACTCTTTCTCTAGGACCCAGTTCATTGGGCTCTTGGTTATTTTCTCCCTTCTCTCTTTCTTCTAACACCTGAAAGGTTGCTTTAGCTCCTTTCTGGCTAAATTATTCCCTTTGTCTTCCTCCTTCCCCACCATCACGTCTCCACTGTCCTTTCCTTAAATTCCACGTCACAAATATATCAAGCAAAGACAGGCTGGAAAACACTGCCTGGGGAAGAATGGTTACATATTCATACCTTAATAAATTATCCCACAGCATAAATTCTTGTTATGGAAGGTACATTATTTTCACTTTAAATGTTTAAAAAACAAGGCCCAGAAACATTTTCTATTCCTTTTAAGTGGCCTTCATTAAAAAAAAAAAAAGATTGCTCACCATTGTTCTACACTCTCAGACTCTCACTTAGAGATCTCATTATTCTACCGTCTTTATTTGTATGACTTAAATTTACACGTGATGATCTAATTTCCTCTTGCACTTTCTAAATCTGTCACTACCTTTGCAATGGCTTCTCCTTAATGCCCTTTCATCTTCTCAAACATAATATGCCTAAAAGTGAGCTCACATTCATTCCAAATTTAGCTTCCCCCCGAGACTTCCATATTTCCATCATTGGCATTTTAAGAAGCATGTTTCTTGGCCAAGTGTGGTATATCAGAAGAAGAGAATGGAGCCCGAGAGACAAATTAAGAGGCTTGTACATCGTAGCAAAAACCAGACTGCACTCAGATTTGCAGACATGGTGTTTTGGATTTATTTGGAAGGACCAAAGAGGGCTCTCTTTAGATCAGAGGTAAGCCCTAAATATTGGCATCAGCAGTGTAAGAGTGTTATACTTTCAGGTATTGAAAGTTCATACAAACATTTTCAGATATTGATGCCCACTTAATGGTATTGATGTTGAGACAGAGAGAGAATGCCCGTACAGCTCCACACTTATGCTTGAAAAGGACTATTCACAAATTTCATGTAAGAGCTTAGCCATTTGTAAATGAAATACAAAGCAGCAGGGAGATTTTCATGAGTTTCCTTCCTTTTATTCCTTTTACAATGAGAACAATTATTCCATCAACACGTTTAAACTATTTCTGATGGCATCGGTACTCAGCTGGGAAAGTTTATACTACCAGATGAGTCCTAATTTAAACATAATTTTTAAAAAAAGTATCTTAAGTAACCCAGATGATCAGATTCCAGACTGAAGCTTTGGCTCTAATGCTGAGAAGAGGCCCTGATCCAGTTGGGCTTTGCCATGAGCTCAGACCCAGCATGACCTATTTCCTGGGGCAGAGATCTGGGTCAGTTTAAGAAATGAGTCACCTTCACATCTGCCTTGAGCTATGAGCAGAGGGTAAGGAATAACGAAAAACTCCTGGCACATGTTATTTCAATTACTTAACTGGGCTTTTATTTCTGTTGTTATTTTTGTTTTTGTTTTGTCTGTTTTGATCAAGAAAAATTCCAGTCCAGGTTTAAACCAAATTCACGGATTTTTTTCTCCAAAGAGATGAACTTTTTAGATCTATGAGCAGATTGCTTTCCTAGAGGTTTTGTCAAGGGCAGGGGCTGGACTCCTCCTAAGGGGGTAATAGCAACTAGAATAAAGCTTCTAAAGAACAGGCCAGTAGGATAGCACTCTGGGCAGTAATCTACCCTGGAAACACAGTGTATGTAACTGCATTTGTTCTGGGTCAACTTGATCCAATCTGGCCCAACCGTGGCCTCACTCTGTATTTGGGAACTAGAGGACAGGGCAATACCCTTTAACTGAGGGCACCTAAGGGAAATTTTAGGCTAGATGTTATACGAAAGGGAACCAGGGAAACACTGTGCTCTGACTTATCAGGGGATAAAAGGTGAATATAACTAGGATTTTTATCGGTAGATTATCTCAGCATCTCTTGATCTCTCACCCAGACTGTATTCAGCCTGCCCTTCTTTACAATCCTTTAGTATTTTGTCTATGTTTCACAGAGCCTACACCCATCAGGGATTAGTTGGGTCTAAAAAGATATCAATTCCCTACAGTGCAGGCCCAAGAGCACCCCCTTGAAATTCTGGCTTCTCAAGAAGATAGGAGGTTCTTGTCTATAGAGACAAGGTTTTGTCTAACTTGTCTTTGCAAGATCTCACCTGATAGCAACACGGTAGGTGTACTCTATGCTCTGTTTTGTTGGTGTGTTTTATCTGCTTGGTGATGAGAAGATGCTATTTGATCTGATAAACTGTTAGCAGGAATTTTACAGTAGGATCTATGAGATCAGGTTCTTGTCCCTGGCACCTTATGGCAATGGGGGTTGAAGAACACCTCTGATGATCTGATTCAGAGGGGAGCAAATATGTTTTTTGGAGATGTTACTTGATGGAGACCCAGGGGCCAGTTGTAGTTGAGGATTATATAATTATAGATTATAATCTGATCCCCTGGAGTTGGGCAGCACAGTGGCCCTGAGTTTGTTGCCAACTATAAAAGGCTGAATCAAAGTTTGGGCTACGATACAGTGTTGAGATAATAGGTAGTTATAGTCTTCCTGTAGTCAATACTGACCAGACTGCATGTGGAATACTGAGCTCAATGCTTAGTGCCAGAGTTTAGAAAGATATTAATACATTACATGTGTCCATATGAGGGGGGTCCAGATGAAATGTATGAAGATCATGATGTATGAGAAAGGCTGAAGGGGATCTGGGAGGATATAACTAAGAGGACACACACTAGCAGGAGAGGAACTATGAACATCAATAGTTAGGTCAACACTGACCTCCGTGATGACAAAGCTAATGATACTTTTTTTTTTTTTTTCGGTATGTGGGCCTCTCACTGTTTTGGCCTCTCCCGTTGTGGAGCACAGGCTCCGGACGTGCAGGCCCAGCGGCCATGGCTCACAGGCCCAGCCACTCCACGGCATGTGGGATCCTCCGGGACCGGGGCACGAACCCGTGTCCCCTGCATCGGCAGGCGGACTCTCAACCACTGCGCCACCAGGGAAGCCCTAATGATACTTTTATATCTCCCTCCTCAGTCTCTCTTTGGCATTTAACACACTCGCTCATTCTCTTCTTAAAATTCCCTCCTTCTTTGCTTCACTGATATTAATTGTACTAATTCTGTAGATGGTAAAATTGAATTAGAAGTGCAAGAGACTTATCTGTGGAAATACCTGGAAGGATGAAAAGGAATGGAGGAGTAAGCCGGACGAGTCTCAGACTGCAGAGCAGCTGAGAAAGGCTCAGTGAGGCCACTGAGGAGCTCAGAGCAAAGACTGCTCATTAGACGATACTGCATTACATATTCTCCCATCTTGTCTCCAGTCCTGCCATCTGCCTTCAATTCATTCTCCACCTGCAGCTAGCAGAACATTTCTAAGGCACAAGTAAGATCATGCCACTGCTGTGCTGATAACCCATCAATAGCCCCCTTGTGTTCTCAAAAATCCAAATTATTTAACACAATAGAGCCCAGATTTGGCTGTATGTATGTATTACCAACAGCAAAATATTTTATTCTTTGTTGATTGCAAAAGCCCTTTTATTTATGTTGTAACCCATACGGCAAATCAGGCCCTTACATGCAAATCCATGTCTTTTCAAAAGGACTAGCGTGGCCTTGCCAAAATGGAACAAACAAAACTTTAAAGGCTGCTTCAGCCCTACTGAAACAATGCCCCTTAATGTACTGGTCCCCGTTTACCACTCTAGCCTCATCTGTTATTCACCCCAAACAGAACTACTTTCACTTCTTTGAATGTAAACTTTCTACCCTCAGTATGGAATATACCTTCTTGCCTGGCTAATTCTCTAACTTGTCTTTTAAGTCTCAGCTTAGAGTTTCCTTCCTCTGCGAAGACTTCCATAACCTGCAAAGACTAGATTCATTGCCCTCTTATGTGATCCCGGAAACTACATAATAAAGGGCAGGTGGAATCTTGGTTGTGCATCTACAGAGGGCAGTGAAATATCACTTGGGTGCTAAATATTGGAAATGTAATAAAAGGGACAATGTTTATATATCAGGACTTCTCTCAGGGAATATACTATATTAAATAGAAAGGAATTCTATGATAAATAGTTTGGTGTGGGTGATAGTTTTCCAAAGGGACATGATAGGCAAACATTTTCAATCTAGTCACTACCTTCACCCCCCAGCCCAACCCTAGGCATATGGAAATGTTGAGGTCAGTATGGCTGGGAGCAGTACTGATGGCGGGGCAGGGATGTTATAATGCTTGGCGACAGTCCCATGCAAGCAAGGACTACCCAAAATGCTAATGAAACCTCCACTGAGAAACACTGTGCTAGGATGTATGCAAGTCTGGAAACAGAACTGAATTGCTCAGAATAACAGAGAGGAAGCTGAGCGCTGACACCTGAGGACTTCCATCTCCACCCACTCCCCATGCAGGGTTCCACCTCATCTGTAAATAAATGTCGAGTACATGCTTTCAAAAATATCCATTTACTATCTTAAAAAAATTAAGAAATTCATTTAAAGAAATTAAAAATATATATATATAGGTTGAAAAAGAACCAAATTATTAGCCCGAGTGGCATCTAGTATCTTCTTCTTGCCTTGCTTCTCTGCACCTCAGTACTTATCTCACTGTCAAGAAATTATATGAGAACTTGTCTGTAGCCCCAACTTGAGTTCAGGGACCTACTGCATTGCCAGAACCTAATATATGTTTGGCACCTAACAGATGCTCAACAAACATTTCTGAACTATGGCTCTCCAAATTTAAAAATTAGTCCCGAAATTTTTTCTAAGTTTCAACCCTAATTTTTATTAGTGATAAATGTAAAATTTATCACTTATTTCACATTTCTATTTGAGCACCTCTAATTTAACAGATGCAAAACAGAATCATCTATTTTGATCCAGTGTTATAACCCTCCCCCAAATAACCCCAGTTCCTCTTATTATGGCAAATGCTACTACCTTTTTGGGATCTTCCCAATAGTCTGAGCCAGAAATCTGCTTGTCATCCATGTCACTGTCCGCTTCCTCACTGTCCAATTATTTCCTAGTTTCCTTCCCTTTTCTCCATCCTAGGCCTCCCTGGCCTTAATTCAAGGTCTCTTATGTTATTGCATTTGCTTCCTAAATCGTATCTCCATCCCCATCCTCATAACTGTCAGCCTTTAAAACATTCTAAAATGTACTCAAAATAACAGTAATTAATACTTTGTGGGATTACTGTGGTGCCAGGTACTGCTGACTTTTACAGGTATTTTCTTTTCGACTCTTCATAATAGCCCCAGTTTGAAATAACTTCCCAAGGTTGTTCAGTAAGGAGACAGAGACAAGATCTGAACCCAGGTAGCCAGGCTCAGAACTGTGTTAGGCTAGGTTATATAACCTCCTGGAACTTTCTGCCATATTGTTTCACAGACATGTCTGAGTCTGATTCTCCTTCCCTGGCAGATGTAATGAGTCTTTTCTGAGTGAAGTCTGGCTCAGTATTCCTTTCCCAGAGCTGGTGGTATACTGAAAATGTGAATGGTGGCTATATGGTCAATAAACCAAAGAAGTGGATCCAGTGGGTTATTAGACAAGAGGTCCTGAAGATGAAACTGAAAGCTGGGGTGAAGACCAAGGAATTTTTAAGCCACAGATGCACGAGGGATGGGCTAACAGAAAGGTGGTCTGGATATGGTGGCAACTGTTACTGCCCATCTTAGCCTTACATGCTCCCTACTGTGTGATGCTTATGTGGCTGGATGCTTTAAGGACCTGGGGCTAAGTGGTCAGCCTGGAGTATACCACCTCCCCCCTGTTTGTCTGGCAAATTCTGACATATTTTTCAAAATTTACTTTAGCATCATTCCTACATCTTCCTGTCTACATTTAGGTCCCTCCTTTGTTTTTCTCACACTGTTTTGTGAGACTGCAAATTCCTTGAGGTCAGGCACGCTGGTTTTTCTTCTTTGTACTCTACACCACTAGAATCTAATAATCACTGACTCCAATTGAGTAACAGGGAGGCAGATTTTGGCTTAGCATAAGATAAATTTTTTAAAGTAGACTTTAACTACAGACTAGTGGCTAAGAGCTTGGCCTTTGTGTCTACCTCTATTCAAATTTCAGCTTTCTGTATTACCTTGAGTAGCTTAATCTGTCTGTGCCTCAAAAAATGGAGATAATAATATCTATGTCATCAAGTTGTTGTGAGAATTAAATGAGATAATACATGGAAAGTACTTGGCTCAGTTCCTGGCACGCTGTAAGCACCTGGTAATTTTAGATTTTTTTTTATTATTGTTATGATTATTCACTAGCACTATCCTATACTGAAGCAGGGTACTTCGGAAGCAGTGAGTTCCCTTTCACTGAAGGTATTCAAGCAGCAGTAAATCCAGGAGAGATGCTTTAGAAGCAGTTTAGGACTTCTAAGGATGCTTCTAATCATAGAAGAGGGAAGTTATTTCTCTGATTCAAAGAAAGTGTGATCATTAGTGTTACTTCTAGTGAAGCTGAGGAGTGTTAGAATAGAAAAAAAGACATCAGATTTGGCTGTATGTATGTATTACCAACAGCAAAATATTTTATTCTTTGTTGATTGCAAAAGCCCTTTTATTTATGTTGTAACCCATACGGCAAATCAGGCCCTTACATGCAAATCCATGTCTTTTCAAAAGGACTAGCTTGGCCTTGCCAAAATGGAACAAACAAAACTTTAAAGACTGTTTCAGCCCTACTGAAATGTCTTTTCCCTTTGAAAGAAGTCTATTAGTGATGCAAATGCAAAGTTATCTGCACAGAAGATAATCTTTGCAAACAAAACAGTGAAACCATTAGAACGTTCCTGTGCAGCATTCAATCCTGAGAATTTGGCTTTCCAGCATTAAAAAGGCAGAAAAAGAGAGCAGAACTGGTTCCTATTTGAGATCGTTTATTAGGTCTGCTTATCTGAACCCTGGGCTAATTATCCTCATGTTTGGCTTAAGGAGGCCAAACAATTCTCCAAAAGTGGACAGGCTGAAGGAAGTCTTGCCTCTGGGCAAGTGCCTTAAACAGGCAAAAAAGAGGGTCCTTAGCCATGGAATAATATTTATAGTCAGGAGTTTAACTCTCAAGATACCAGAGTCTTTTAAGGTCGATCCATCTAGAAGAAACGCAATGATAAGCATTCATAGGGCAGCAGTGTAAGTAATATGCTCCTAGTACTGATGCTTTAAAATAATTAAAAACTAGATAATTGAAAGTCTACTTGTATAGGTGAAGAGATGGTCATTTTCCAACATCTTTTAGTCAACAGATAGGGCAAACAACTTCTTTGAGAATTTAGTAAACATGCAATCTTACTGTAGGCAAAGAGATGGAAAAGATAAAAATGTACGTCGCAGTTAACTGTAAATAGTTCGCTTGACTATTATTTGATTATACTTATTTTATATTTAACGAGTTTGATAAGACCTAGTTTTTCGGGGAGCCACGAGGCCTTAGGGAATATTAACGGTCAGAAGGTGTGGTGCCTAAGGGTACTAGGAAACAGCTTCTGAAGCAAAACTCCCAAAGCGGTATTGCCGAAGTGGCCATCACCTACCTACTTGATTAAAGCTTTTGGAAATGCCTAGTGGGCAGTTTATTGAAAACAGAAAATTAGCCCTCCATACCCACGGGCTTTCTTGGACAGATAATAAGAGTTGAAGCTGGTGTCCACAAGGCTTGCAATCTGGGTCTGAAGCAGGGTGGGGCTTTGGATAGTTAAGCTGTAGAGCTTGCGGACCATCACAGGTTGACATTTCAGGTATGGGAATGGATCTCGTCCACGCTCCACCCTTTACCCCCACCCCACCTCTCCTTTGCAAGGTTGCTAGACAGCTTGCTGGTCCCCTCCCCCGTCTTTGATAATCCAGACGCCTCTGGTGAAGGTCAAGCACTGCTTTAGTTCTGGCCTCTGGCTGCCTCCCACGCCCTCCACGCGGAAGGGCTGGCGGCCGTTTGGCGTGTTTTTCCTCCAGAGCTTCCCACGGCCTACCCACTCCACACGCCTCCCTGGCCGCCCTCCTGACCAGTCCTTTTTTGCACCCTGTCAGGTCAACTCAGAGGGCCCGAGTGTCAGGTGTCGCAGCAAGCACAGCTCACTTTTTTCAGGGGATTTCCTCAGGACAACAACCCCTTCCCCGCAATCCCAGAAAGTCTGTGGGACTCGGCTGTGTCCTATGTATAGTTGCTTCTAAAAAAAAGTTCGGGACACGGGCTGTCTTGCAAATTAAAACTATACTACCTGCTTAGGATGGGGACCTGATGCGGCGACGTCAGACTTTGTCGCTGGGTAAATGAGAAGCGAATAGGAGCTCCTTTCTGCCTGCCCCCCCTCCGCGGTCCCGGGGGGCAGGCGAGCCCTTTCTGGCACGGCACAGCGGCGGTCGCGCGCGGGTCCCCAGCGCGGGGCAGCCGCGGCTGTTTTGGCCGAATAGGGCCCGGGGACCGGGCCTCGCCAGGCAAGCGCGGGGAGCCGGAGCGCGCACGGGGAGGGCCGCGCGCGGGGTCGGGGAGCGCTCCCTCCGGGCTCGCGGCTGCGCAGTCGGGCGGGAGCCGGGAAAGGGGAGGAGGGTGGAGGAGCCGGAGTAAGGGGAGGGGGAGGAGCGGCGAAGGCGGAAGCCATGTTGGAGTTTCACCCCGAGCGAGGGGCTGCGAGCGTCCTCGGCTCCGTGTGGGTGTGACCCGGGTTCGGCGCCGCGGCGGGCTGCGGGGGGCGGGGACGGTTAGGCCGGTCGTCGTCGTCCGCGGCGGCGGCCGCAGCGTGGAGCCGGGCGATTGTGACCGCCGGGGGAGCAGGGGGCCCGCCGCGGCTCCCACTCTCCGTGTGGCCCCCTGAGCGCCCCCCCTCCCCTGCCCGGGAGGGAGGCTGGGGGCACCCGGGGCCCGCCATGAACCCCTGCTTCGATCTGTCCCGCCGGAACCCTCAGGAGGACTTCGAGCTGATTCAGCGCATCGGCAGCGGCACCTACGGCGACGTCTACAAGGTGAGGGCGAGGGGCCGCGCGCCGCTGAGGCCGTGGGGCGCTGACCCGCCGCGGGGAGGGCGAGGGGCGCCGGCGAGTCGGGGCGCCCGAGTCCGCGCTGCCTGCCGGCGGCAGACGCTGGCGCCCGGGAGCGGTGGGCGAGGAGGAGCGGCGGGTGCCCAGGGCTCCGCGACCGTGCAGAGAACAAAGGGCGAAACGTTTAATCCCGAGACCCCCGGGTCCTTACCTGAGCCTCCCCCGGACGCGCGTTTCCCGGGAAGCGCTGAACGGCGGCGGCAACTCCGCTCCTCACCGCGCGGAGAGGGTCTGCGCGTTTGTTGCATTGGCAGGGTCAGTGCGACGAGCCGGACAGCAGGGGTTTGGCTTATGTCAAACCTGCATGCTCTCCACGGACCTGGGATTGTTCGCGGTGGGTTGGCATCTGCTGCCCACCAGGCCCGGCGATAGTCATTTCACTGGGCAGCGTCCATCGACAGCCCCTCAACCTTAAGCCTCCTAGCATCCGCATACTTAATTTTCCAAGTAATGACTTTCTTTTGTAAAAGAGATCTGGTTAGCATGACTTCTTTCTTCCTTCCTCCCTTCCTCCCTTCCTCCCTTTCTTTCTTTTCTTTCTTTCTTTCTTTCCCTCCCTTCCCTCCCGTCTTTCCTTCTTTTTTTCTTTCGAAAGAGCAACTTTTTCTCCAACTCGAATTGGACCGTGATGCCTTATTAAACTTGTTTTTGTCAGTGACACATAGGATTCAGCTTTTTTATATATATATATATATATATATATATATAAGTGAATTGAATACTTAGGAATGGTACTGGTTAGGCAAGGTTAGAATTCAAAGCTCATTAGTAGCATAGCGTTCCTGTTGTAGAGGGACCACTTCTAAATGTGGCAGATAAATCATGCTCCTCTGGCCAGCTCAACTCTTGGCCTCACAGAGACTGCCAAGAAGAGCAGGCTTGTGCCAAATGTGGCAGCAGTCTTGATTTGGTTGTGTATCTTCTTACTGGTAACTGAAGTGGAACTCCGCCTGTTTCACATAACACCTGAGGATGCACAAAGAAACTTAACTTTACTTTGGAAAGTTGAGTCTTAACTTTATTTTGCCCACCTTTAAGCAGTAGGTTTTTACTTTTACTTCACTTGTAATGCATATGGTAACTTAGATATTTAATACAGTGCAGCCAGTATTCTGCATTAGTCTTGTTTTGTGGATGATTTGCTTTCCATCATCAGTTATATCACCACTTTTCTCCATAGACAACACAGGTGTCTATGTTGTCACCTATGTGACACACCTACTGTGCATAAGGTACTGTGCATCTATCTAAGCACTTGGGTTGTAGCGCTAAAAGAGAGACATGTTCCCAAGTCTTACTTGTTTATATTTTTTGGACAAGAACAACATTAAACAACCATTTAAACAATTATTTTATTGAGTTTTCTTTTGTGCTGCCGAGAGGAGAGGATTAGGATTAGGGTTAGGAGAGCGTATAACAGGAGGACTTCATCTCCGCTGGGGAGTCAGAGGCAATGGGGAGAGGAAATTATGCCAGATAGAGGAAGCATGATCTGTGCAGGCTTGGAGGCCCTAAAGAACAGGGTGAGGATTTGAAAGAAGGCCTATGTGGCCTCAGTAGCCGGAGAGGGAGGATGACCCTAGATCATGCAGGCCTCTTTGGTCTTGTAAGGAGGTGGGACTTCTCTTTAGGACAGTAAGGAACCATTGCAGGGTTTTAAGTAGGAGAGTGAAATTAGACTTGGATTTTTACAAGCTTTCAAGCTTTACCTACTGCAGTGTGGGGAGTGGAGATGGGGGGGCAGAGGTAAAGAGCAGTTAGGAGGCCACTGTAAGCATAACCATTACGGTATTGTGCTTGGAATTTGTAATGATTGTGAAAGTTGAAATGAGTGAATCCAGGTAGCTTAGAGTTGGTTAAGGGAGTCTGGTTAGGGCTTCCCTGATGGCACAATGGTTAAGAATCCACCTGCCAGTGCAGGGGACACAGGTTCAAGCCCTGGTCTGGGAAGATCCCACATGCTGGGGAGCAACTAAGCCCATGTGCCACAACTACTAAGCCTGCGCTCTAGAACCCGTGAGCCACAACTGCTGAGCCCACGAGCCACGACTACTGAAGCCCGCGCACCACAACTACTGAAGCCCGCGTGCCTAGAGCCCATGCTCCTCAACAAGAGAAGCCACCGCAATGCGAAGCCTGCGCACCACAACAAAGAGTAGCCCCCGCTCACCACAACTAGAGAAAGCCTGCGCACAGCAACGAAGACCCAACACAACCACAAAATAATAATAATAATAATAAATAAATTTTTTAAAAAGGGAGTCTGGTTATATTGAGATGAAAAGTTAACTGAAACTTTGCTAATGTGTCAGGCTTAGGTGGCAGTGTAGACAGCAAGTTCTTTTTCAGTTCTTTACAAGAATAATTGGCCATGTATTTACTATATTTAGAAAAAACAGCTGGTAGTTAAGCCACATGATTAAAACGTAAAAAAATTAAGGCCTGTAATTTCCTAAGGACATCTAAGTGCAGTGCAGGTATAAGTTGATTAATCTTGTCATCTGTTTAAAATAATGATAATGGAAACTAACATTTATAGAGTGCTTATTACTTGCCAGGCACTGCTCGAAGACTTCTCCGTGTATTACCTCAATCCTTACAATAGCCCAATGAAAGAGATGCTGTTATTACCTCCATTTTGCATCAGAAGAAACTAAGCCACAGGGAAGTTACAGTAACTTGCCAAAGTTCGTAGGTGGCAAAGCCAAAATGTGAACCAGTTTGCTCTAACTACTGTGTCCTTAACCAGCATATGGGCAGATAATGTATTATCGAATTTCCAGTGGAGAAACGGAGGCACACACTTAGTTTAGCATGTTAGTTGCAGCCACACTCCGAGTTAGAGTGGATCTTTAGGTAGTAGTTAGAATACCTAACTCCTGCTGTGCAGCCAGGCCTCACTGTTTTTGTAGAGTCTGCCAAGTGGACATCAGATAATAGATACTTGATCCCTGCCTGCCAGACTCTTCTAATATCAGGGGCCCAAAGCAGAGAAACTCTGTGTGGTTTTTGGCGTCATATCCCGTTTGCTGAATGACCCAAAGCTTAAACTATTTGTATTTTTGTCTGTATATAGTCATGTTCATGCTATAAAGATAACAGATTTTTTTGTATTTTGCTGTTTTCGATCTTCATTATTTTTACAAATGGTGTTGATTAGAGAGTAGTGCCTTAAAGAATTTTTTTCAAAAGCCGGTATATATAATTTGCTCCTTAATTTGTCAGTATTTAGGTGCTAAAAATGGAATGATCCAATTAAGTAAGTTAGAGGCCTAATTATTTATAGTCATTCTTAGAAGGTTGGTGTTTTAAGGGATTTTTATTTTGAAAACTATATCCTATGCAGTGTAATAATATGCTTATTATATTTAAGGTGGCATGGTTTAGTTAAAAAGTACTGAGCTAGGATGTGGAAGATCTAGAATTTATTAGCTCTTTGGCCTTATAAAATCACTTAGCCTCTCAGAGCTGTTTTGTTGTGAAGATATTATTACCATCATATGCCCTTCTGTTTATGGTGTTGACTTGTTTCACTCAACAAATACGTTTTAATTTTTTTGAGGCCAAAAAAATGCAAATATACATTTCCTCTGCACTGTCTTAAAGTACATGAAAATATAATTTAAAAAGAAAAGGCTTACACACTTTTAAATGTGCTGTAACTCTGGGCTTTGTCTGTCAGATGAAGTATCTGTAGCAGGAGTTACTCAGGGGCTTGGGAGTTGACAGCTAGAAAGGGCTCTGGTTGAGCCGCAGGGGGCCCACGAAACCCTTGGAAATTTATAGGCTTAATGTTGTATGTGTGTGTGTTTTTCTGGAGAGATGGCTTTTGGTATTCATTACATTCTCAAAGAGTTCCATGATCCCAAAAAAGAAGAGAATGAATGAGCTATAGGTTTGTCACTTGAAAGTGATTACTTGGAGAAGCTTGGAGAAGTTAGGTCTTTGTATACCATGTCACATTATCAACATTTATCAACATTAGTATGATTTTCACATGCATTATGCTATTTTTTTCTCAGGCAGTTTTCCAGTTTAATTTGTATTATTCCTACCCTTAGAGTCTTCATTTACGGATGTTTTTCTAGATTTATTGCTAGAGAGACAATACTAAAGCTAGAGGTAGGGTAAGGCAGGGTTGTTTTTTTTTTTTTTTTTTTTTTTTTT